ACCCTACAGGGTATTTCTTGTCATAAGTTTAATAAAAATTCTATCTTAATCATATCAAGTGGATCAATGTATTTTTTTACCCTCCATAAAATGAAACCACGCCCTACGGTGTGATAAGAACATAGCAACGTTTAATGTTGCTTCATGGATGGTGATATTCCAAAAAAATTTCAAGATTTTTTTTTTTTCAGTGTAACCCTCAACTACATTCAATAATATGAAGATAAGACACGTTTTAGGATAAAATCTGAAATTGTTATCCCTTGAAAATGATCATTGTTGACCAAGATGTAGCCGAATCAACAGTAATTAAATTGCATTGAGTACAAAATATCGTGAAATGTGCGCGCAAAGGTTCTGCGCAGAATTATTATATTGTTACCCTTCTTAAATCTTAATGTATTTCAAACCGTTGCTATGTAATGTTACTTGAAGAGGGTGGGGGCAATTGAAAGCACACAGTAGATTATTTCATTCTTAATGATCAAAAAAATCTAAGGTCTAATTAAAGCACTTACACAAATGGAATGAAGTAAAAGAGAGCAAGCCAAGTATTTGATTCAAGGAAGAATTAAATGTTAAACTCTTGGTAGATACTGGTAGTCAATTTTTACTTGTTCAAATTCATTATGTAAAAGTATTATTAATGTTTGTTATATTTTCCCCAAATATTTTTATCCTAACAGTAATAGAAATTATAAGACTTTGGCTTTAATCTAGGAATTCACCCGCATGGTGCAGTGGTTAGAGCATATGCTCTAGAGGTGCGAAGTAAGGAGTCGATCCTTACGTCGCGGGTTCGAATCCCACTGTGGGATGTGGAGACCGTTCGGATAAGACCGTATAAACCGAGGTCCCGTGTCGCAGTAGCCACTGGCGCGAAAAAGATCCCTCACTGCTTAATGGCCCTAAGTGCTGAGTATAGAACAAAAAGTGCAGCTCTCCACCGGCAAGTGGTGGCGTCTCCATATGCATGAAAAATTCTCGAGAGGGACGTTAAACAATATACAATTACAGTACAAAGATTCACATCCATCTACTTTTCTTTTTTCAATGTTGCTCTAATTAAGAAGTGACTTTGAAAGTGTTCCAGATTGTTCACATTCTAAAGCATGTTCATGGAAACGCCGTTATCACCAGTCCCCATTAAATTGAGCTTCAAGTGCCGCATCAGGCATTTTACTGTTGCGAAAATGACCATATGATCTACAGGGAGAAGTTAGGTTTTTTAAAAATGGGTTTAAAATATTTTGTTAAAAAGTTACATTAAGAATTTAAAAAAAAAGAGCATTTAAGCATTTAATTCTGTCTAAACGATTCCATTTGAATTATTTCCATTACTATAAACATAATGTAGCTTTTGTACATGTATAGACTATAGATGCATGGTGCAGTCTTTATAGAGAAAAAGGTCAATATCAATTGGCTTTTTATACAAAGCAATAAGCAGTAAATCTGGAGAGCAAAAAAAAAGTGTTTGAATCACACAGTTCAAATTTAAGTTCCGGAGATGCCTGAATGGAATTAAATATTTGATTTTTCTAACTTGGAGACCTTCAAATCAAATCCTGTTTATGTGATTCCATAAATTCTGTACTCTTTATTTCAAAATGATAAATTTCTATAATTTTTCTAGATATTTAATAAAAATATATTCTGTGATGATGCAACTGTAACAACTCTGATATACATTGTACATGTACTTGTCTGATAAGCTTCGATCCTTGCAGAATTCTTTAGAAAAGGCTGTTTTGACTTATTTTAATTTGTATACAAACTGTGTTCCATACATTTTTTGTTTCTTGTGTATAAATTCCAAAACTACTGGGGTATAAATGTCCATCAGGTGTTTACAAATAAAATGAAAGTAAACACATTCACATTTAGGAATTTCACATGGTACATGTATATTGTTAATACAAACAGCGTTCCATACTTTTTTGTTTACATGAATGGTAATTGCAACCATTATATATATGTAGGTGTGGAAGACAAAACTTGACTTCTTTGAAAATCAAACTATATAATTTTTTTTATTTAGTTTTGATTGCATAACAAACTACAGGTTAATTGGCTATTGTTTGCAGGCTGTCTGTCATAGAAAGCTCATATAGAAAAAAGTACGGTGTGCAAATGGGTAATTCTAAATCCCTAATTTTAATCTTTCGATTTCCCAACTTTCCCCTGAGTGAATTTTTCTAAACTTTTTATATGTGAGTTACTGATAGCTTATCTACAAATCTGCATTAAAATATATACTGTTGCAATTAGTTCTCATTTATCAGTAGAATGACTAGACTATTTCTACCTTGAGTAGAGTTCTAATTTTGGGTAAGATGTCTTCCAACTTCATACCCCCTTTGCCTTGCCAGAATATGGTAGCATTGTGCCGGTCTAATTCTAAGTTGGTGCCAAATACTGATTTTCTGGCATAATAAAATGCATGTTTAACAATGGAAGACCCAATGATCCATATTCTCTTTACACCTACAAAGATTTGACAACAGAAAAATTAACGAGATGTATAATGCTAGAGCTATTAACATGTTAATTCCTGATGTACTTGTACAGACACTGAGATTTCCATCTATCTCTACTGGCAATGTCTTTTTCACTGGCTCCATTGGCCCAGGCCGTTGAAGCTGCGCCTATGCGAAAGGAGTGTGTTTTATAAGTTTGCTTGCTTAAACCCAATTTTTCTAAGGCCATATTGAAAAGAGATGACATCTGATACCTTGTCACAGGACTACCTGAGATGTGGCAAAAAAAATGCTGAAGGGATGCTAGGTCTTAAGCGCATAAATGATAAAACTAGGCGCACTGGGCATACTGCCTGCAAAGTGGCCGTTAGTGAAATTGTTGCCCCCTTCCCCTCTTGATCAGTTTTGGAATGTTGAAGGACAATGAGGACTTTATTGGTCTGTTTGTGATAAGATACATCCCCGGCTTGAATAGCGTGACCAGGGTCATGTGCAGAATTTTGAACCAGCTCCCCCATTCTAAAATAACCAAAAAAAGCTGTTGAGAATATGGTTAGAGAACAGCACCGTTTCATAATGGGATTTGCATATTGTGGGCAGCAACTTAAGGATGCTGGACAAAATTGTGAGAGTGACTGGTTTACGTTCATCGACGTGGACATTTTTTCTGCCCAGCCCTACCAGGGTTTTTCTGAGTAAGAATGATTGTGTTGGATCAGGAAGGTTGTGAAGTTTACAAAAATAAGATATCCCAGAAATGTACGACTTAACTGTGTTTGGGGAATACTGCTTAAACGATAGGTAGGAGACAAAATCGACTAATTGATTGTAATGGGGAGGCCACTCTTCTGTGTCAAAGTATTGTTTGCGAAAATCATTGAAAACATTTAATGCAGTGTTATACAACTTCTTGGTACTGTCGGAGATGGAATAGCTTAAGAGCTCTCGAGCTCTATGTCGCAGATCACCTGCAGAAATGACTGGGGTATTAATGTTGGGTGATCCTCTGCCTCTGGGAAGCTGGCTGGAAACGTGACCACTGCTGTCGAGAGATAGAATCTGCTTTGATATTATGCAGGCCTAAGATATGTGTTGCCTTAAACTGGATGTTATACACTAACCCTGAAGAACTAACTTCCTGAGCAAACGCATGACCCTTTTTGATTTTGATGTCTTAGAATTAAGAATTGATACCAGAGCCTGGTTGTCAGTGTGAAGAATAACTTTTTTGCCAGTCAATTTTTCCCCCCAGATGTCAAAAGCCATTGCAATTGGTACTAATTCTAAAAATGTAATGTCTTTAATGATCTCTAACCCTTTCCACTGTGATGGCCATTGGATGAATGCCCATTGCTTACCTAAAATAGCACCACAACCTAACTCAATATTCCCTGCACTATCAGTAAACAACTCCATGTCAAAATCATTTGACCAATCTACAGTTCTATAAGAAGTGACTCCATTAAAACATTCAAAGAACAGTAGCCAAGTTTTAATATCTGCCCTCATTTCTAAACTGACCCTGCGCTTGTGATGTGGTTTTGACAGCCCACAAGTAGCGTCATAAAGCCTTCTAACAAAAGCCCTACCAGCTGGGATAGCCCTTGTACAAAAATTCAGTAGCCCTGTAAGAGCCTGAAGCTCCTTCAATGTAACCTTCTTTTTGGATAATATGTAAGTTAACTGGTCCTTAAGCTGCCCCAGTTTGTCTGATGGTATGCGAATTGTCATTTCTTGAGTGTTAATTTCTAACCCCCAAAAAAGTCAAAATGTTTGTAAGTCCCACAGTTTTTTCATGCGCTAAGGGGATGCCCAGCTCGTGAAAAATGGAACAAAACACCGACATAAGCCTAGCACAATCTTTGCTACCGTCCCTACCAGCTACCAAGAAAGCATCCAAATAATGAACCACATTGTTGCTTTTGGCCTGCTGCTTAAGTACCCATTCTAAAAAGGTAGAAAACTTCTCAAACTTGGAACAGCTTACAGAACATCCAAATGGCAAGCACTTATCTACAAATATCATGCCCTGAATTTTAAAGCCTAATCATTCATAATCTGATCTGTGAATTGGCAATAACCTAAATGCATTTTTTATGTCTAATTTAGCAATTTGTGCGCCTGGACCTAATTTTGCAAGCATGTCTAATGCATCATCAAATGAGGAGTAATTAACTGAGCAATGCTCCTTACTAATAAAATCATTGACGCTAGACCCTGTGGGGTAAGACAAGTGATGAATTAATCTGTAAGAACCCCCCTTTTTTTGTACCATGCCCACTGGAGACAACCTAAGGTTCGGTAGAGGGGGCTGATCAAATGGACCTGCAACTCTGCCTAACATGATTTCATTAACGACCAACTGAATAGCTTCATACTGTAACCCAGACATGGATTTAAGATTATTACAGTCAGTGGCCACTCGAGGCCCTTCGTAACACAACCTAAAACCTGCAAAAGTTCTAAGGCTACCAAGCCAAGTGGGTAATTTGCTAATAATTTGCCTAATCTCGGTACATTAATAGGGCTTGCTGCAATGTTACTGAGGTCTAACTGATTGGGTATAAGGTGCTCTAATAGCTGAACTTGATGCCGTGGGTCTCCTGGGTAGCTGAGGCCGCCATGTTGTTTGCAGACCAGTTGACCTAAAATTCAAACTAGAACGTGATGATGTCTTGTGTTTAATGTAGGGATGGTTTTGTGAACATATCATACATTCGTGTTTGTATTGACATGCGATTTTATTACATATGCCCTTGTAATTGAATTCATAACACTTAAGAAGGGGGGCTTGAGGTGAGGAAGTCTGGGTGCTAGGGGCACTGTACATATACAAGAGCCAAAGCTCCTGATCGACAACAGCAAATGAGAGAGATGGGTTTGCCTCCTTCTTCAGTCTGAACTGGATGTCGTAATCGCGCCATCCGAGAGTCTTAACTCTGTTTGCCCCTAACCTAATAGTATGAATATATTTGAATAACTGAGCTCTGCTCTCGGGATGGGCTGAGGTATATATTGATGCGTAAATAAGAAAAGCATCTGTCCATACTTGTATGTCATTAATTACCTTTGCTTTAGTTTTTGGGGCCAGGGTGAGGCTACCCTCTTTCATGGAAAAATATCTGGTCTCATCGTTTGGATCGACCCCATGTGAATTTTCAACCAACAAGCCCAAATTGATGTACTCGCCATTAACAATTTTCAGTTTTAATTTATTTGATACTTTATGGCCTAAATCGTTATCGTAGCTTGTCGTTAATGAAAGGTAATTGTCATTTATTAAAACGGGTTCTGTACCTTGACTCTGTTCCCGTGTGGCCATGGGGGTTTCCAGTGGCTCTATGGGCATTGGTCTCACTCTGCTTGCTTAGGATGTTTGCTACAGCTTCTGACACCTGCTGCAACTGCTCATTAGATAAGCTAAAGGATGGCTGGCTCATGCTTCCACTGGTTTCAGTTTGACCATCACCTTGACTGGCTTGGGCGCCATCGTTGCGCTTGGCGCGCCTTCTTGGTAACGGCGTCAGATCACGCTTTCTTTTTGGCATTGTCGTTGACTTGGGGTGCTCGTTATGAAATACACACACAACAAACAAAATATTAATATTAAACTCTGACAAAAAAACAAAACAATCGGATTGTGGTAACGAACAGTGGAATTTGTGCCTATGTATCTAAGGCCACGTGTAGCTAGGCAAACGGAGGCAAAAAAGATATAATAAATTAAATCTAATATTGAAAAATTCGGATAATAATACTACCAAAGACTATGTTCAAAATAATTAACTTGGAGTGAACACTATCTACAATTCTTAGAAAGGCAATCACGAAATTTCGCCAATGGCGGCTGAGCAAGTGGAAAAAGAATCCACTGATAAAAACACGTCTAACCTCGTTGAAATTTTGCAGAAACTTGATTTTTGCGCTGGATGTCACAGGTTTTAGTGCTTGGGTTTGGCTAATAACCCAAAACCCCGAGAACAGAATGGCACTAATACAAGGCCAGGACTGGAAGGATACCCCCAAAAACCGAAATATTAATAGCTTGATGGCACTTTGATAAACGGATTTAACCTTGAGTGGTTAAATCACATTAATGTAGGATATGCTTTATTAATACTCTGACATAATCTCTCACATCCACTAGTTAGGTATGGACATGAAATTTATTTTATCATCAAGTTTAACACTAATTTTTTAAAAGGCTGGGTTGGGGTAGAAGGAGCAAGAGAGAATATTTGGACAGATGCATTCATAGAGATTTAGTCATTTATCCTCTCCTGAAAGATTTTAGATTTTTTTTAACATACCTTGTAGGGTTTTCGAGGGGAAGCCCCCCCCCCCCCCTCCCCGCCATCAGGACTTGGAATGCATTTATGGTTTGCTTGGTTGCTTTCTCCGCCGCAATTGACACCATGTTCTCTAATATGTGTTCCTCTGATGAATATGAGAAGGTAAAACATCAAACATTGAATAACTGTACCACCTCCCCCACTGTTAGTGCCAGCATTATATCATGACCGGTCGCGTACGCGGATCGAGAAGAGGGGGTCGGGGGGGGGGGTCCTCCCCTCCCCCCTGGAATTTGCAAAGAAAAATATTACAATATAACAATTTATAAGAAAAATGACTCGACTATTATTATGTTATTGATATTTCTGAATTTACTTTTTAAGTATTGTAATCAAATGTCATTATTACGTAGTTAGAGTCAAGTCACAAATGTTATTCGAGTTGCGAAACGAATTTAAAACGATTTGAATGATTTGTTAAATGTCCTATTACGAGACATTGACGTCAAAATCTTGTCATAATGCTAAAGCATCGTCATTAACTAAGTCATCGGCTGTAGAATAGCGCTGCTTAAGACTCAATGAGACAAACTGTCTCTCGAATTCGATTCCAAGTGAATATTAATTGAATATTTCTCTCAAAATAATCTGACTATCATTTCCTTCCATGTTAAATACTTGCTGGCAGTTTACTTATAGATGCAATTTAAGATATCATGGGTGAAAGGAATTTTGATCTTATGCAAGCCTCTTTGCTGAAACCAGCAGCAACAGGCTGGCAAGCCTTGCAGTTCGATGTATATTTGAGATACACAAGTTTGAAGAAAGACTACCCCTATGATCTGAGTAAAATGAGGTCCGATATATTGCACAAAGATGGTAATCTGGACAAAATTGCCGAGGTGAGTTATCCAGAAGATGGACAGGACCTGAAAATATTTGTCCTTTGAATGTGTAGGGGTGGTAATTGCTTCTATAGGGCCCTATCTAAGGTCATATTTGGTCATGAAGACAGACATATCGAACTTCGTGTCATGACCGTATTAGAACTTGTAAAAAATTTGAGAATATATGCATCACAGGCAACTTACGACAAGATGTGTTCTCATCCCACAAGTATACAATATGTTGTGGAGACATCAGTATCGGACTGATCACTTGTTTCGCGCAATTTTCTCAAGTCGATTCAGAATGAAATTCTATGTTCAATCAAATCAGGGGAATATTGTTCTTTAATTCATTTTTTCGCTGCGGCAAATCCAATATATAGCATCTAGCCAACAATACAAAATGTTGCTGTAAACAGACATCTTCATCAAGAAATAAGACCATTTTCAGATGAAAAGATACGTCAAGGTTCCCCCATCTATATCATGTGCTGGTCACTCTGCACGAAAAAAGCAACCCACTCAGAAAGACTTCATCATTTCAATCTTCTTTGATGAATCAGTTTCCATGGTTGACCTTCAGCAAACTGTGAAATCGCGGTCTGTGTAAATTTTGCGTCACTTCTCTCAGTCAGATGACCAACATCAAACTACATTTGTTACGCAACCTTTTACTGCGTATAAGAAAGCCTTTGGAAAAACATCTGCCCTTTTAAAGCATCAAAATTCAGAACACCACAAGAGTGCAAAAATCTGTTTATCACACAACCAAGATGACATCCGAAGTGCCATCTTCGTCTCTTCCGTATCAGCAAAATCGCACAATATCAGCACATTAAGTTGCTTGTGGTCATTCTTTGTGGGAAACAAAATATTCCTCTCCGAGGACACATAAATGATATCACAAGTGATTCCTCAAATAAAGGTACTTTCCTGGCAATATTACAGCTGTTGGCAAAGCATGATGAGGTCTTGTCTCATCTAAAAACAGCAAAAGAATGCCTTATACAAGTATACCATCAAAACCATTCAGAATGAGGTTATCCAACTCGTAGGTAATCACATCACAGGTAAAATTTTGAAGGGTTTACAAGGGAAGGGTTTTTGTTCCATCATAGCCGATGAGGTAACTGACAAATATGCTAATAATTGTGTCTCAGATTTCTTGATACTAGAGAAAACCCCACCACCATTAATGAGGAATTCCTTGACTTTGCAAATATAGGCAGAACTACTGGGGAAGCGATTGTGAATTGAACTCATTGAAATCCTCTGCTCGCTTGCAATTCCGATTGAGAACATGCGAGGACAAGCATACGATCATGCAGCAGCAATGGCATCGGAAAAACGGCGGTGTCAGGGAGTCTCTAAACCAATCAGCTTTGTATACCCATCGTCGGAGTCATGTATTGAATCTGAGCATTGCTTCAGCCTGCAAATTACCCCTTGTGAGGAATATGATAGATGCCCTTAATTCAGTGTTTATTTTCTTTGACAGTTCCCCTAAAAGACAAGGGATTCTTGAGAATATCATTGATAATGTTGGGTCTGTAGATTTTTCCAGAAAGAAACTAGTTGGACTCTGAAAGACTAGGTGGGTTGAACGTCATATTTGCTTTGATGTGTTCTACACTATGTACAAGTTCGTCATCAAATGTCTGCAGCACATTATCAGTCAAAACCTTGATGGAAGTACCAGTGAAGACTGGTCTTAGGATAGACAAACTAAAGTGAACACAGGTACTTTTGGCCTTCTCTGTGTTGATAACATTTGTGTTTGTAAGGTATGTCCTAGATTCAATAAAACCTTTGACTCTCAAACTTCAGAAAAGAGATATTGACATTTTCACTGCAAGTAAGTTAATCGAGGAATACGTTGGTAGGATCAAAGAAATTCGTACAGCAGTAGATACCGAATTTGATTCTTGCTTTGAAGACGCAAAACAAATTGCAGATGACCTTGATCTGTCGTGGCCATTCCATTTCTGGACTCCCTTCTCAGTGAATTAAATTCGAGGCTTCAGAAAGACGATCTGGTGGCATATTCAATATGCTCTTTGTTGCCTGTCAGTATGACAAATCTTTCACACGAGGAATTGTCCAAACTTGCCTCAGAACTAATATTTTGGGGGAGCGACCTTCCTGGTCTTTCTGTTAAGGACTTAGAGAAAGAACTTGCAGATTGGAAACGTTATTGTGTTATCATGAGCAAAGAAACCTCAGACAAGCTCTGCAATTTGATCTTTCTTTTCAACTTTGTAGATGGGGATGTTTTTCAGAACGTGAAAATTCTTCTGCACATTGGATGTATGTTACTTATCACAACATATGAGGCTGAAAGATCCTTTTCTTGATTAATTCGCATCAAGAGTTACATGCACAGTACTATGCAAGAGGACAGATTAAATGGGCTGGCATTAATGCATCTTCACAATTCATTAGAAAATTTGACCAAAAGAAAATTGTACTATCATTTATCAGGCAAGGGAAACGAAGATTACTTCAGTACAGTCTTTTTAGCTAAATGACTCTTCCTACCTTAAAACATCAATACACAAAAAAGTCGCCTGCGTGATGGAGTGGTTATAAAGGGCGTTTCGTTCCAGAGTTGAAAAATAAAACGGGTGAACATTATATAACGGGTTCGCTTTTCTGAAAAGGTTCGCCCCCCCCCCCTTTGGAAAAAAAATCTGAATACGCCCTGGGTCGTACTGTCTATAGAGGATTTTCCAACCACGGAACAATCGGTGCATTTATTTTTCGTTTCATGATATCTCGCAAATATATCATTTAAGGTGGTAGCGCTTGAAAAAGTTATTACTCTTGTCTTTGTGTCCCTGTGGCGACACCGTCTCAAAATAACCGAGAGCACATGAGGCTGGCCTCTTCCAATGGCCGCCGCCATTTTGTTTTGTATTTATGACAAGGGAACCGATAATGGTGACAGAACGTCAAATTCCGGAAATGTTCCGATTTATTATTTTTTTTCCAAAACCGAAAAAAAATTTTGAGGGTCGGCCCCCAAACATTGGGTCGGTCAGGTAGCAGGAAACAAGACTTACCATGAAAATTTATTCAAGTCTGATGATTAAAAGTTTTAGCACATACCTGAAAGGTGGTACTAAATATGGCTAATGAGAAATTCAGAAAAAGACCGAACATGTGACTCT